TCTTATCGGATTGAGTCTTTAAAGATTTGAAAACACTTGATCTATGTCTTGCCGTGCGTATCTGTGGTGACAATGGGATATCACGTGATTCACTTGATGTATGTTTTGGTGATCAACTTGCGGGTTCCGCCCATGAACCTATGCATTGGGGTTGGCACACGTTTTCATCGTGATTCTCCGATAGAAACTTTGGGGCACTCTTTGAGGTTCTATGTGTTGGTTGAATAGATGAATCTAAGATTGTGTGATGCATATCGTATAATCATACCCACGGATACTTGAGGTGACATTGGAGTATCTAGGTGACATTAGGGTTTTGGTTGATTTGTGTCTTAAGGTGTTATTCTAGTACGAACTCTAGGGCAGTTTGTGGCACTTATAGGAATAGCCCAATGGATTGATTGGAAAGAATAACTTTGAGGTGGTTTCGTACCCTACCATAATCTCTTTGTTCGTTCTCCGCTATTAGTGACTTTGGAGTGACTCTTTGTTGCATGTTGAGGGATAGTTATGTGATCCAATTATGTTAGTATTGTTGAGGGAACTTGCACTAGCGAAAGTATGAACCCTAGGCCTTGTTTCAACGCATTGCAATACTGTTTACGCTCACTTTTATCATTAGTTACCTTGTTGTTTTTATATTTTCATATTACAAAAACTATTATCTACTATCCATATACCACTTGTTTCACCATCTCTTCGCCAAACTAGTGCATCTATACAATTTACCATTGTATTGGGTGTGTTGGGGACACAAGAGACTCTTTGTTATTTGGTTGCAGGGTTGCTTGAGAGAGACCATCTTCATCCTACGCCTCCTACGGATTGATAAACCTTAGGTCATCCACTTGAGGGAAATTTGCTACTATCCTACAAACCTCTGCACTTGGAGACCCAACAACGTCTACAAGAAGAAGGTTGTGTAGTAGACATCATCTACCTCCCTGCCCCCTCCCCCTTACCAAAAGCCTTCCTTTCCAAGTTGAAACATTTGCTCCTTGCTTGCATCGCCGCCGCTTCCTCGCCGGCGACCCTCCTTCACGCTGCTCGGCCTCGCCTATCCGGGCAGGTAATCCACACCCGACCCCCATCCTCCTCCTTCTTCCACATCCGACATGGCCCGACTGCCGGCGCGAGTGCGACACCTTCCACCCAAATGAACGACCCCTCCACCAAATAAGCACCGGCCTAAGCCATGCTGTACGCAGTATAGCCAGGACCTCAAGGAGCATTTTGCAGTGGTGAAGCAAATCGCGGCTGCACGCGCGGATGAGGTCGCTATGGCTGCCATTCGTGCGGACCCCCAGATCTTGAAGAAGCACCTTGCCATTTGCTAGCTACGCCGGTTATGCATGTTCGATTTACCCGTCGTGTGTGTTGCTCCTGCCTTTCCTTCACAAATTCTTGTGAATTGTGCTATCTAATTTTACCATGCGATCTGTTGCTCTAGTGTATATGTTCTATATGTCGTGCAGTGCGGTGCTCACTTAGTAACTGTTTTGTTAATTAGTTGTCGTCTTCAGTTAACTATTTGGTTCAAAACTGCAAATGTGATTTTCAATTCTTCAGGCTCCAATTTTGTATTTTCTTCCATGTGAGAAATAAATCGAATTTATCTTTAAAAATTATGGGTGCATTCTGTTATTGTATACCATGTGAGGAATAAATTGAATTTGGGTGTAGTAAATACATGAGAAACAAATATAATTGCTACAATTGGCTGTAGTTAACTATTTGGTTAACTATTTGATCTTCTATTAGGAGTATGTTATATTATGCAATCTGGTGCTCAGTTAATATTTGGTTCATTTGTTGTGGTGTTTAGTTAACTGCTTGGTTCAATTCTACAATGCGATATCCAATTGTCATGGGTAGAATTTTGTATTGTTGTGCATGTGAGGAATAAATCAAATTTGGTTGCACTTAATACATGAGAAACATATACAAGTGCTATATTTCCTAATTCTTAATCATGCTTGGTTTGGATAAATGGGTTTTCCCTGTGTCTTGAATTAATCTGATGAATCTGCAATGTGATTATTTTTCATCAACATATTTTATTGATAGCATACGAACCCTTACTTAACTGATGACTAACTACCTTATATGTCTTGCAGGGAAACAATGGGAAGCACTAAGGTTTACAATCGAGGTTAGCACGTGCATGGTCCGTTGTCTAATAACACATTATTGTGCAATTGCAGGAACCATTCTAATATTTAGGTTCTTAACAATTTGGTCTTGCACATGTAGGTCCTACTGTCAGAGGTTTTAACCCACTGTTCAACCCTTTTTGCATATGGGAAAATGAGTTGTCCATGAATATCAGTCAAGTCAAGAAACTCAGAAAGATTGTTAGGATAAAAAAATTAGCAACAAAAAACAAAAAGATCTATGTCTGTACAATGAAGAAGACATCAGTTCACTACAGGATGGTACTAACTATTATACATTTCCTTTTTTTTATTCCTTTGCCCCATTTCCAATATAGAGAAGATATTTATGCACATCCTTGTTTTCAGGCCTTTCCAAAGCAGTTCACTGATGATTACCTCTCAAACCACCTGTATGGTCAGGAGACGAGGAAGGTATTCATACAACACCCACGGTTCAATATTGAAGTGTTCCTGAAGAGGACGAAGGATGGACGGTCAATCATCCACAGGCACTGACATAAAGTTACAAAGACCTTCAGCATCAATGAAGGCTCAATATTCGCCTTCTGCTTCAGCAGTTTTCCAGATGAGATACATCTGTCTATGTACTGTCTATGATGCTAATTTTGAAAGGTTATAGATGTTGCATGTGAAACTTGGTCTTGGTATAGCTGAGTGCTGAAACTATATGATGTTGTACTCTGATGTATTTCAATTATGAAAATGAAATATATTGTGTGCTTAATATGAACTGTCAATTAGATTAATAAATGGATTATGAATAATCGGATAATTAGCCTGCTAATTGGGTTTTACTATTGCGAACGGTTGTTAAAAAAATATCATGGGCGATGACCTCAGGCAACGCACACAGTTTCTAGGAATAAACCGTGTTGGATCAATAAACAATCACACACGACTCTTTTGAAAACTGTTTGCGTTAGGCTACCTTGCGCAAACGTTTACCATATGAAAACTGTGTGTGATGGACAACCTTTGCCACACAGTTTCTTCCACAGACCGTGAGTGATATATTCAATAACGCAAGCAATTTAACGGGAAAAATTGTGTGTGATGTACCTGTTAACGGAAACGTTTTCCTTGGAGCGACTGTGTAGGATGTACATACGAACGGAGACGTTTAGCGGGGACTGACTATGTGGGATGTACTTGCGACCGAAAACAATTTTGTCGTATAATTGTATTTTTTAGCTCTATTGTATGTATTTTCGTATTTGAGCGCTTGCCGGTCGCACACGACCTCATTTTGCTGAACGTGTGTGCCAGGAGGGCATATCCCCGATGGTTTCTGGGTTGTGTGGGAAGGACCCCCCTATCGCCCACACTCATTTGGTGACGGTTCCAGATGCCGTCGCGGAAAGGGGTTTTAAACCGTTTGTTTAGGAGCTCGTTGTACTAGTGTGGCTTTTTGGCCAAGGTGAAAAGGTTGCAAAAGCATAATCAAAAGCCCAAATAAAGAAGGCCTAGACATTACAAACATGAGAACCATAAACCAAAACAAATTAGACATTATTGTTGACGTCACTCCACCAAGCTAGGTGGAAGTGTAGAATTGACAATCCTCTTAAAGGTGAATGTAAAATTCCTATTTACACTCAGAAATCCGTCAAAAGCCATGCCTGAATCTTGATGATTTACTGTTTTCATAGCTTTTTTCACAAACACAATTCTGCTGCAAAACAAAGCAGATTGTAAAAATAAAGTATATGTCAATAGAGTAGATGGCATCTACTTCTAACTCATATATTTAACACAATTAAATAGTGTAATTAATGTATGGAAAATGTGCAATTATACCTGGAACATAAATAAATTTCTATATTAAACAGCCCCACAACTGTACATGTAGCAAAAAAATGTTACCAAATATAATTCTTACAAGCACATAGCTGACATGTGGCTAGCAACCAAATATTGGTCAAAGCTATCAAGAAGGCTAGAAGTAGCTTCATCATCTACATGTGACATGCAAGCATATATCAATCGCAAGCTTACTCTAAATCACATCCATTTAATTTTCATACATGTCAGTGGCATCCATATATGTCAAATTCATCCATAGCCGCTACATCCTTCTATACATCCATTGCATCCATTTGCAGCCAATTGTGTGCTTGCCAACTATGTCCCTTTTTGACCACATATATCTCAAACTGCATCCATATCAACAATGTCCATCTTGATTGCATCATTCTCAATGCTCCTATTTTCGACTGATCCTTTCTAACTGCATGTATGTGTACTGCATGTTGTTCATCACAATTGATTCCATATCTCAACTATGGTACGTCTTGTAGGATGTGATCCTAGTTCTAGTATGATGAAAGTAGTTAATGCTAAAGGATGTGAGTTTGGTTCTAGGAAGATGTAAATCGTAGTCTCCTCGGAACATGCCCCATGTTACCCTATTTCCAACGAAAGATGAAAAGCACAAAGTAACTACTCACTCTAGTAATATGCAAGTTAGGCTGCATGATGCAGTTGAAATGATGCAACATACAAAATAAATAATTGGAGCAAGAAAATAAAAAACAATGAAGAAGAAACTACAGTGAAATGACATGAACCAATGCCCAAGCAGTTGTTGGAGCGCAGAAACACACTCTTAGAGGTATCTTTACCAGTTAAGAAACTAATAATGTATATAGCTGAATAATAACCATAAAAGTATTTTTTTTAAACAATAAAGCTCCACACCCTATAGCCATCAATGAATATCACAAGCATATAGGGAGTATGTATACATCGTTACATTTCTATCTTTCAATTGGTAGAAAAATATATTGATACTCAACTATCATACCAGAACCTTAGGCCAGTCAGTCAGCGACCATCTAGCGTTGTAAGGCTAGCACCATTGGTAGACATTTCCAAGCCTTCAACCGTTCTCTGTGCAAAATACATCGGTTGCTTCGGCATTGCGGGAGGCATGGCTTCGTTATCCAACATGGACACAACCGATGGCATGTGTGGCCTAGCATTGGGGCTATCATGCACACACATCAATCCAATGTGGATGCACTTTGACACTTCATCACGGGAGTAGCTCTCCGTGAGTGTTGCATCCATGAAATCCATTGCTTTTCCATCTTTCCATAGGTTCCATGCCTAAAACATCACGTTGAAGTTTGTGACTATATTTGGTACCGCATTATGTTTGTTTTTTCTAAAATTAAAGTGTTAAAATTACTAAGGAATTTGAAGCATTTAATAATGGCACTTACATATGCTATGAGATTCCGGAAATCCATTACAAGATGATGAGGTGAGCTGATCTTTAATCCACTTACAATCTCCAGCAAGAAAATACCAAAGCTGTAGGTGTCAGACTTCAATGAAAAGATTCCCTCCATCGCATATTCAGGTGACATGTAACCACTGTTTGAAAGATTTAACAATTAAGCTAAGCTTGTGTATGTAGTTTGAGTATGATTCAAGCATATAAATAAGAAGAAGAAAATCAGTCATAAACACCGAATGATGCGCTTGGTCCAAATTGAACCTTTATTATGCAATGCCTATGTTATAGTCCAAATTTTCTTAAAGTGATTCACGTTTACTTGGTTAGTTCTTTGGTCCCATCCGACTCTGAAAAAAATGTTAGGAGATGAGGGAAATACTATCATATTATAACTTACAAAATCCCTTAAAGTAAGATTTATGCCATGTGTAAAATGATAATAAAGAAAAATAATGTAGTCTTTTGTACAAAGGACATTCTTTGGCTGATTTTTTTAGGTTCCGAACGACATCCATGCAATCAAAAATTGTTCCGTTTTGTTTCTAAATCTTCAAATGTTCAAAGGTACCCTATATAACTAGGTTAATTTGGAAGGTGAGTTAATGTTTCCCCAAAATAAAAGAAGAATCACATGTGTGGAGAAAGCAATAGGGTAAGAACAAAAATCGGCAACTAACATGATTTTTTTTATTTCATAAAAACATGAAGATGATGAATCTATCTTGTCGGTTTTGCACAAAAATATAAATAAATAAAAATTCAACTCATTTTTGCAGGTTATCATTTCATTGAAATAAATATAATTGTAGACGATCTACAAATAATGAATACATACCTACTTTTTCAAAACAACGTTAGGGTTCACACAAAACATTAAAAAGTTCATGGCTTAATATTGATAGTTGTGTAGTTCAGGATTCGAGGTAAATCAACCAAAACAGTTGGGGCGAGTTGAAGATAGACTATTCTATTAAAAATGATGAGATCAAGGCCACTGTGAGAGGTACTTACTATGTCCCAACTACATGTTTGGTACGCTCGTGTTGCTCATTGCCTCCAAAGATCCTTGCCATTCCAAAATCTGCTATCTTTGGGTTCATCTCTGAGTCTAGCAGGATGTTGCTCGGCTTGAGGTCTTGATGAATTATCGTCATTCTCGAATCTTAGTGTAGATATAGTAATCCTCTAGCTACCCCTTTGATTATGCTAAATCTTCTTGGCCAATTGAGTGTAGATTTTCTTTCATTATCTGTCAGAGTATAGATCATATACGGAGCCATTCATGCAAGCATATATGTTTGTTTAGTTGATTCAAATTTAGTTTCTATAGTAGTATGCAAGAACGTACCAAAAAGGAATTTGTCTAGACTTTTGTTGGGTAGGTATTCGTATATAAGCAACTTCTCATCCTCATGAATACAATATCCAAGGAGTCTAACAAGATTCTTGTGCTGTAGTTTGGCAATAAGAACAGCTTCATTTCTGAAATGCTCTATTCCCTGCTCAGATCCCTTGCTATAAGCCTTTTAATAGCAACTTCCTTGCCATCTTGCATTGTCCCCTGCAAGATTCTCATCATTATTGATTTTACCAGGAGGAAATTAAAAACAATTTTGAATCTTTATTTAGATCTTAAGGTAAACATTTTATATGCAACCTTATAAACTTTCCCAAAACCTCCTTTTCCAAGCATGTTGGTGTCATGGAAACCATTCGTTGCAGCAGCAATGTCTTCGAACGTTATCCGCGGAAATTCTAGACTTTGATCCCAAACTTCTTGTGAAGGTCTCAAATGTACATGCAGGGCCGATCTTTGTAGGGCTCCATTGTCTTGATGTATGCCTACAGAAAATATCAGGCATGTAAACTCAACAGTAGGACATATGAACAACCCAAAGCATATTGCAAGAGGTGTTGTCTCTTCATTTACCTCTGGGTTTGCATATACAGAAACGACATATGCATGCGAGTATCAGCAAGAATGCTATAAGTGGGAGTACAATCTTAAATACCAAATGGACACCGCTGATCTTGTTGTTGGTTCTTGCATAATTGTCCCCTGTGAAGAAAGTACAGAAATGAGTACTGGGTCAAGGCCTTTATGAAACTACTGTTTCTTTGATAGTCACGACTAGGCGTGACCTTGTACCCCTTGCAATTTAATTTTTTCAGAAAGATCTAAAGTAGTTTATCGTAAGTATCATAAGTCTTTACAAATACAACCCTATAGAAAAAGAATATTAAATCCAACCTTTTCTAGGAAATCAAGTTTTAATGTGCTAATACGATTACTTTTCCGGTGTGCGTGTAGCAATGCAACCTTTTCTCAGTGCGTACCGAAGCACTGAATGAAAAATATTTGGGTTCACCTTCCAATGCGGGGATGGACAAGAGCGATTGTTTTCAGTTCCTGATTGATAGCGTTATTATGAAAATTAGCGGATGGAAAGAAAAAATATTATATGTTGGAGCAAAGGAAATTTTGCTCAAATCTGTTTTTCAAGCGATCTCAACTTATGCCATGGCTGTCTTTAAAATTCCTATTTTTTGCAAAGGAATCATTGACGCGATGTCGTAATTTTGGTGGGGTGACGAGCATAATTAGAAAAGGATGCACTGGATGGCATGATAAAAGATGTGTTCCAAAAGGTTCAGAAGGAATGGGATTCTGAGATATACACCGTTTCGATCTGGCATTGTTTGGCATTGTGAGCTAAACAAGCTTGGCATCTCCTGGATAATCTGGATTCACTATGTGTTACAATATTAACAGCCGATTATTTCCCGGAGGGCAACTTGACGAACGCAAGTTTAAAAAAGGGTTCCTCCTTCACTTGGAAAAGCGTTATGGCGGGAATGAAATCTCTTAGAAATGGTTATATATGGAAAGTTAAAAATGGACAAAATATCGACATATGGAGAGATGCATGGATCTCGAATTGTGCGAATAGGATAATTATTACTTCTAGACGAGGGAATCTACTGGAGAAAGTTTCTGACCTTATTGATCCAGTGAGGAACGGGTGGGATGAAGATTTGATAAGACAAAAGTTGTGGCCAATTGATGCTCAAAGAGTCCTAGCGATCCCCCTCCCTATGCATAATATGCCGGATTTAATTGCTTGGAGCTATACTAAAAACGGTTTGTTTACTGTATGATCAGCTTACTTGGAGGGACGGAAGTAGTTGTTGCCGCCGCATCTCAGCGCCTCCTTCCTCACGCACCCTGCTTTGGAGGAGTCGCCGCCGTCGGCCGGCTCGAACCCGACGAGGCACCTGCACTCCCGGACGGCCCCTTTGACCCGCAGTAGCCGAACGGCCCGCACGCGCCGTAGACGAGGCACCCCTTGCCCGGCCGCTCGAACAGGGGCACCCACGACGACGACGACCCCTCAACCCACACGCTGAACATCACCTCGCCCGTGTGGTCGAGCTTCCAGTGCGACCTCGCCGGGGCCGAGTCGTCGGCTCTGTTGTAAGTGAAGTAGGCCACCTCTCCGTCATCGATCATCTGGGACAAGAAGGATTTGGTGAAGCTGGCGGCCGTGGCGCCGTTCCACACCCCGGCGCGCCAGTAGAGACTCGACCCTCGCCAGGTGAGGATCTGGAGGCCCGTGCTGGTGTCGCCGCTCAAGACGAACTCGCCGGTGGACGGGTCGTCGGGGCCCTTCCACGCCACGATGCGCGCCGCTACGTGGGTCTTGTAGTTCACCCACACCTTGAATCCCGGGAGAAACGTGTCGGTCGGCTGAACGTAGCTCTGCCATATCTCCGTGCCGTTCCGCGACCGGAGAACAAAGTTTCCGGTGTCGAGCAGCACCGCCACCGCACCTCTGCCACCTGATCCCGCGGTGGTGACGTTGTTCGTCTTCGTCTTCGTCGCCCAGAGGACACGGCCGTCGGAGTCGGACAAGACGAGGTCAGAGGTGTTGCTCACGACCAGCTTCCCGGGCAAGCTGCTCGTGATCGGGTTGTCGCGGTTGGCCACCCACACGTATGTTCGCTCCGAGATGTTGTGATACCATATGCCTAAATATGTGTTGGCGGCGGAGCTTTGCAGGGAGAAGAAGCCAAGGGCGAAGAGGCCATTGCTGGAGATGAGCTCGTCGCCGGGCGAGAGTGGCTTAGTGGGTGTTAGGCGGTCATTGGAGTTGCAGGAACAAACCAGCAGCATGAGGATGAAGATGGCCGGGAGAGAAGCCATACTCTGGTGCGTTAGCGCCTGAGCGAAATGTGGCATAAGATCTCGCTTCCCATTTGGAATTCGGAGACCATGATGTCCCACATTATAGCTGACAACTATATCTGCCGTGAGCTCAACGGCATCTTTTGGCTTCCGCGGCAGAGCGACCACGGCCTCTCGCTGTTTCGCTCAAGTTGCAGCTGCTGGACACCGACGGGGTTCGTACAAATAATTTTCCCAGACCTATTATTATGTAATAAATGCCCTAACATAACGTACATAAGGAATGATTTGTCCTCTATAATTGGGTGTAGCTAGGTCTCTCAGTCTAGTGAGACTTAACCAAGACTCAATCAAGTGACGTAGCATAGCATGTAAGGAAAGAAAAACTAAAAGAATTTTCTGCACGAATCTTCATGTAAGGTATCACGAATGTAACATCAACGGAGGCATAACCAAGTCGATTGAAATTTAGCAACACTACTTTAGTTTGCCCCTCCCCATGGTGGGCCTGCTCCTTAAATTTGAATGCAACCCTTCCATCCTGGCAAGCCCATAACAACTTTTGGGTAGGTGTCTTTTAAACAAGGAGGGAAATAGTATAGTCTTGTACTGTGATTTTGTCCGATTAGAGATTTTTTGGAAGTCAGGAAAATAAATTATATTTTTCTAGTTCATTGTACGAAATTTGTAAATGGCTTTGCTACCTCTTATTTCTTTTGTTATAAACGCTATAAGGGCTTCAGTTCGTTAAAGCCGGGCAAGTGCCTCCTTTCAAAAAATGATAATTTGTAATTGGCACACCAGATCTTTTCTATTTTTACCAAACGCGACGTTTGATAGTCAATATGCATCCAACGGCACCTTTTTTCGTCCCGTGAAACTCACTCCGCCATCACCTACCAGATCTTTTCTATTTTAATCTTTCCTCGATGTCGTCGTCCCGTTGGACCGGGTCTTCCGTGCACCGGAGAAACCAGGACGCTTCCTCAACCTCCGACCCGTCATCACCTACCTCGTGCAGCCGTCGTACTACCTCACGTGCGCCGTTGGCTCTCCACTGGCCATCGTCGCCACACCGTCGTGCCCGCCGCCGCTTGGCCCGTGGGAGGTGGGCGCATGCCGCGCCGCAGCCCAGACACTACTCCATTGTGCTCACCATGTTCCTCGTCCTCGGCATGGACCTCCTCCGAAAGTACACCTGCTCCTCGGAACAAATTCTAGATAACACAGTTGCACCTAAAAAATTCGTATGGGCCAGTCCATTCATTTTACACAAAAAGTGACATGTGCTATAAATTAGTTCTCATGAACTTGCGCTGCAACTATTTCAAAAGATTCTGAATTTGCCATGATAATGTGTGAACTAGGATTTTCCCACGACAACTACGGATTGTGCCTACAATGCTGAACCCAAAACTACAGATTGAAAATTACCATAGTAACTGTGGCATTGAAATTGCCATGACATCTCTACCATTGTTAAAGATGGTTGAACCAATTTTGCCATGGCAAAAATTGTTCTTCATAAGCAAAAGAATTACACAATTGCAGTGGAGACGCGTTGTCAACTTGCCAACACTGCATATTACCCCATGGCAACTATAGATTACCCCAGAGCAAAAGGTACATTTCGAAAATTTGTCATGATAAAAGATGGGGGGTGAAATTGCTGTTTTATTTTATATTTTTCTTCCAACAGAGCTAATGGTGGGCTGTCACCGCAGATGTAATGCGGACGGTGAGAATTATAGCTGGTTAAACCAAGATCAATCCAACTCGTGCCAAAGGTAGACTTCCAGCTTTCGTCGATCGCCGTTGCTGCATCACCACTCAAATTACCTTTAGATTTCTTTTGCGAATGAAAGTACCATCTTTTTATTGTGCATACCATTCTTTCATATATTTTTAACAACATGGTAACAAGGGTTGGAGGGTCCTGCAGTTCATTAAGAAAAAGAGAGATGGACA